GTTTAAGATTGTGAATATGTTATCACTCACCTATATGTTTAATGTCAGCTATGCTAAATTACACATTTCTGTCTAATTTGAGATAATGTTTTGTCATGTGCTTAAAATATGGCCTGCTATTCATGTCATCATTTAAAAAGTCTATCCTAAAATAAATCTGTCTTTAAAAAATACATTTTACAAATGACATTTAATATGATTAGAGTATAGGTATCCATATATATATATATAAGAGATATTATTTTTGCATTACATTTATAAGAGGCATCGTCTCATGTAATTTAAATCATAATAACAAAATGGGTTTTTATTTTTCTATACAGTCCTCATCCTGGAAGATATGTTTTGTTCCTAACCATCTATATTCCATTCTCTAAGTGAAGTGAAGCCTGGCTGCTGGTCCTCCTTTGGGGAAATACACAGTGAATCAATTATGATAAAAACAAAAACAAAACTTGAATCTAAAAAAGTTTCAATGAGATATCATTTTAATTTATTTAATTATTATTATTAAGATAATTATTTTAAAATGTTTATATTTTTTAAAATGGATAAAAAAATAAAATCTGATAATGGAAATCAATACTATAAAGATAGCAAGTTTTTAATCTTTAAGTGCTAATAAATTTCTGAATTTTCCATTAAAATATTGACATTATATCACAGGGGAAAAAGAAAATCTACATGACTGTTTCTACTGACCTCCCCCAGAGATCTGCTTTTGAGTGCATGGGGATTACGGTGGATCTTCATCTCCGGTTTTAAACAGACTTTACAGTATAACAGATAAAAAAAGGTACTTTTTTTTCTTCTTTATTTTTACATCACATGAAAACACACAATTAATGATGATGATGAAGAATGTACACATGTTTTTCATAAGTGTGTACAAATTGTTCAATATAATGTCTATAATGAATCCAATTTCCTTGGGCTAGTCCACAGCCAATCTTGTAAGGAAAAGCATAAGTCTGGTAAGGTAAACTTTCCCCCATTTCTTGTAAACAAGTTTGAAACCATTGCTCTCTGTTTTGTGGGGTATCCTGATAAGTGGAAATTCTTTTAGGTCGGTGACTTGCTTTTCCATAATTCCATTGAGCTAGTAAACAAATGACCACAGGGGTTTGTGAGGGAAACACCTTAATAGTGCCTGGAATTCCTGTATCTTCTTCTACGGCTAAATTTCTAGTCCCTAGAGGTCTGCGAGTGGCATAGAGATTACCTTGTGGGAATTTCTCTGCAATACTTTGACTCAATCCATGAGCTTTTACAGTTAAACAATTACATTGATGAACAATAGCTTCTACCTCACAGTTGAGTAAATCACCTTGTATCTCCTGGAGACTCATGATGTAAAATGAATCTATTTTTTAAAAATCACCCTTGTTTTTATAGATCAACAACACAATAAAAACAAGATTTTTTTTTTTTATTCAGGTAAATCTACAATCTCTTGGAACTAATTCTTTGTTTCTCACATCAGGTTTTAGAACTCCATATTCTTCATAGTCACCTTGTCTATAAAAGGTTCTTTCCAATTCTGGAGTGCTGTGAGACATCTCAAAACAGGTTAATTTATGAATCTTTCTGTACAGGTATCTCCCTTGAACTCTGTTTTTCATTTGAATGAATCCTCTCACATGATGAAGTTTTCCAGTTTCTGGATGCCTTTCTTTTTGTAAGATCAAGTATTGATAATCACTTCCAATGATTTGATCTACATCTTCCTGTCGGCACCCAGTTAAATTAAATATCCAATTATTGGCTATTCTACCTCTGTCTTGTTTTAAGTAAGCAATATATCCATTGCCTGTATTTTCTTTCTGTTTATTTTGATAATGAGCCTTAATATCCTCCAAGAGTTTGTTTGGTCTTATGTTTTCTTTTTCCTCCTCCTCCTCCTGAGGTTTATAATCTACAGGATGTTCTTCCATCAAGGGAGGTGGTATAAATACTGCAGGATGTTCTACCATAAAAGGACTTTCTATGTAATCTCTCGCATCATTAGGATCACCCTTTTCTGGACACAATTGGTTATATTCTTCTTGAGAAATGATCTCAATAGTCCCATCATCATGTATTTGAATTGGTATACCTCTGTCTACATCTTTCTCTGAAAGAACTCTCTGTCCAAACTGAATTTTACTCATTCCTTTACTCATTTCTTTGCTGGAGGTGTTACCCATAATGAAGCCAGTCCACAACTGAGGTGTGTTTTGTACCATGTTTACTATTTATACTTTTTTTTTAAATTGTATCTATTTTTATCAATCTTTAAAAAAAAACCCTCAACACTTTTTGTTTTGTGTTTTTGAAAAAAAAAAAAATCTATGGTGAAAGGGAGATAACCTATTTTTTAAAAAATGACAAAAACCCACAATTTTTTTTTCTTCTTTTCTTTTTATTGAGATCTAACAATGAATAACAGTTCAATCTTTTTTAGTCAAAATCTTGTGTTATCTACATACTGAAAGAACCTTTTCTTCATAGCTTCTTTAACTGCAATGGCTTCAGGTTTCTTCCAAGCTCCTATCTCCCAATCTTACCAATCTCTGTCCTCCAATTCTTTGTTTCTCTCCTCCGGTTTCAGAACTCCATATTCTTCATAGTCACCTCCTTGCTTGTAAAACATACTTTCCAATTCTGGGGTACTGTGAGACATAGCAAAATCAGCAGTGATATGAAGTTTACACATACATAGTCCTCCTACTGGTCTTTTCATTTGAATGAATCCCCTGATTTGATGTACTTCTCCTGTCCAGGGATGTCTTTCCTTTTGAAGAATCAAATAGTCAAATTTATCTTCATTGCTCAGAAACATATCTATATCTTCTTCTTCTTTGGGCTCTGAAATGATGAAAGTCCAATTATTGGCCATCCTGTACCATCTGTCTGGATCATTAGGATCCTTCACAGGCTCATTCAGGGGTAAATATTCATTCTTAGGTTCCGGATCCAAGGTTTTCAACTCCATTCTTCTTTGTTGAGGAGCTTCGTGATCCCCCGCCATAGGTTCCGTCATTCTCTTTTCTAACAAGGCAAATTTATCTTTGTCCATCTCCATGTCTTCTAATATTCTTGGAATTCGCTTGCCAAACTGTCGTTTACTCAACCACATGCCCCCCAACTGAGGAGGATCGTCTTTAACACCTTGTTTTTATACCCCCCACCTTGAAAGATAAGGGCCGTGTGCAAAACATACGTTTGACCTACGTTTTTTTTATGCTGACTACACAGGTAAATACTTGGCAGCGATTCAAGATTATGACGTCACACTTCACAGTCAAAAGCTCGGTCTAGCCTAACCGGTTCAAACTGGATTTACTGAAAACACTAACAAAAGACAAAACTAAGAACACAGATTTTGATTTTTCATTCTTTATTTGTAACAACAAACAACAACAAACAACTCATTTACAATACATTTTGATAAAAACATTGACACTTTTGTCCATGACCCGTAGGTAATTTATGATAAGTGTTTTTAAACCAATTCGCCACATATCTGTCCCTTTGTAAAGCCGTACTCTGGTCAAAAGGGAATAGCCATTCGTCGGTTTTCTTTCTTTTCTTGTCTCTTTGATGTAAATAATACACGCAATATTGTCCACACACATCGGTATTCCAGTCTTGATAGCGATACGGATTATAAATCCATTGCTGAGCATGACGCTGGATAAAATCTTGAATTTCTTTTTGTAAGGGAGGAAATCCATAAGAATCGAAATATTCCACCACGGGATTGCTCAAATATAGACACACCCAATGTTCTCCAGGTCGATCTTGAGGATCCGTATTGACCACCACAGCTTTTTCTCCAGGTCTTAATTGATCCGGTAATAAATCTACAGGATACACGCCTCCAAAAGAACTCTTGAATTCTCTGGATAAGACTTCTCTCAATTGTCCCGTATCCATTTTTTAGTAATCAGTGCTCACTTCTCTCTGTTTGTTAATTTCTAATAAGTTATCGAATTCTGCATACACCACACAATTGATGGTGGTAGCCGTATTGCCGGTAAACTGCACTTCTACTCTCAGATTTCCTGTTTCTATGATGTGGAATTTATCCGATTGCGCCTCTTGATCTTTAGTGAAATCCCAACCCCATAGAGTGTAGCCGCTTTTATACTCTTCTAGGGTAATGTCCGGAGCCCAATCTTCTCCTAATTTCCCCAGAGCTTGATACAGACTGAGATAAGATCTCAGATATAAATCCTCGTTGAAATGAGGTTCAAAACAACGAGTACTCATGGTCTCTCCGTTGATACTGACATCTAATTTCTTGATCCCAAAGTTTTGGAAATGAAAGGGATTTTTAGTTTTATCTCCGTTAAAGGCCGCATTCTCCACAAAGCCTAAAATGAGACGTTTAGGCATCTGACCTTGAAACAGATGATCTGTAATCTTAGACTGGGTCCCTATGGGGATGGTAAAGGTTTTCACTTCCACTCTTCTCAAGGGATATTTGGCTCTGTGGGTGTTCAAACTTTGATTAATGGTATTCATCATGACTGCTGTGGGTTTGACTTTTCTCACCCACAAGATCATACTCAATATTTTCACTTTTCCTGTACTTCCTCCTTTGATCATCATGTAGAAAGAGGGTCTAGCTCGATTAAATCGCAAACGGACGTCTACTCCATTAGGCAGAAATCGATCTTGTTGAAACAAATCCAAATGTAAAGTATCCAGCAAACTGAGTTTCTTACTGTCAGCAATAGCTTGGTGTCTATTTCTGAATCCTTCGTTTTTAGAATTGGCCGGTAACGCTGTGAGGATGGGTGCGTTGATGGTCACCGTGTCGGCCCCACCATTTACACCCGGAGTTACATCAAAGGTCTTATTTTGAGCTACACCAAGAGCCTCTAACCCCACTTCGTCCATGTGTCCTGCCGTATCTTTTTCCCACAGACTACAGGCCCTGGTCTGTGTCTTTAAAGTTCTGGCGACAGTTTCACTAACAGGTCGTAGCTAGTAAACGTAGACGTAAACGTGAACGTTGCACGTAAGAGCGTTTCACTAAGAGTTACGACTTGCGATTTACGACTAAACTTAATCGTAACTCTACGAGTGGTCAGGGGCACTCGTTAATTAACTTGCGAGCACGTAAATAAACAAAAATGGCGTCTTTTCTCCTGCTAGCAGACGATGCGAAAGGAAATTTTCGACGAGAGAGGGTTTTCCGGGATCGGACAAACCCCCTCGATTTTCTCAACGACCAGGAAGTGATAGAAAGGTATCGCTTACCTCGAGTTTTCATATATAGACTTATTGACATGGTAGAAGCCGACGTGCAGAGATCTACAGGGCGAAGCCATGCCTTGTCAACATCCACACAGGTATAACATCTCTGTATGAAAATATAACGAAGCCCGAGTCCGACTTTGTTGTACGTTTAAAGTTATCTTTCTTTTTTCAACAGGACTCGGCACACCATTGCATAAATATAAAAATTTGCGTAACGTTAATATTAATGTGTATGCAACTATGCCAAAAGCATCCACGAAAGAAATGAACAGAAAAGAAAAGAAGCAGAGATATAGAGAATGAGAGATATTATTTTTTTTTATTCCACTTTGTCCCAAAAACTGATATAAATTTATGTAAAATAACTTGCATATATATACCAAACATACGCATTTTATAAGCAACCATTCCATTGTCTCCAATCAAAAGCATACGAGATTTTTTTAAATAGTTACAATCGAGGAAAAATAAACTTTAATTTATAATAAATTCTAATAAATAAGGACTTGTTTTTCTCTGTTGTCTTTTGAATGTATGCTTGTGCTTGTTTATTATTTTTTAATACACCGACTATATATATATATATGCTAATTGAAAAAAGAAATCTGAGGTGGTCAAAAATAAAAACAAGAAATATCATACCAAATTCTGAAAATTAAAAAAATATGTATGAAAATATTGTCCCACTTAAACTTTACAGAGTATTAAGATGTCGTTCAAAATTACTACAAATATTGGAATATTTGTATTCCCTTTTTTTTTCGTACGGTTGGAAGTTTGTGGTAGAAAATGAAAGTCGAGTATTAAGCTTGTTTAGAAACTATATATCATTTTGACAAGTAGTATTTACATGTATTCGATCAATATTGAGATATTCCGCAAAACAACCATTTTGTAGATGACTCTCTTCTCTCAACCCTCCCACCCCCCTCTCCCATCCCCCGATTCTTTGAAGGATAATTTTCACAATTATTTTGAATTTATTACAGAGTAACTTCCTATATTAAAAATTATTTATACATGTACCTATATATATTAAGAAATAAAATGAATCTGCAACAATGCAAAAATGCGTATTATGTAATATCAAGGAAGTCATTACCACCCCCACCCCCCACAAAAATTCTTAGAATATTAAATTTAATTCTTAATTATTCAATTTTTTAGGTACTTGTTACAATAAGATACTTATCAAAGGCAGCATTTTTCTCGGAATGTGGAGATCTTCATGGGGTGTCTCGGTCTAGTGTGTCAAGAGCCATTGACAGTGTAACCAGAAGTATCTGTAATCGGCTTAACAACATCCACTTTCCATCGGGTATGTTAACGTTTCAATTAGTTCTTGCAGTCCCATTTACAAATCATACTTAAATTTGATATTCACTTGATAATGATAGTAGTGATGAAATAATATATAAATATTGCATGTAGTTGACTGTAACATTGAAAATTTTCACCTCAAGAAAACCATTGTCAATCGAGGCTCAGCTGAGGTTGACAATGGTTTTCTTGGGGTGAAAATTTTCAATGTTACACTCAACTACATGCAATATTTATTATATTATACTGAATGTTTTATACAGATACATATAACAGTGAACAGTGCGCGCATACATTCTGCGCAGTCGCTATTATTTAGAATATCACCCGTCGTCAAGCAATGTTGACTGCTGCTACGCTGGAGAGCATTCAGCGGGTAATAGTGTATTTTAGCAAATGCTTCTCGACCAATCAGATTCAACTAATTTACATGAAAGTATAATATATTTTAATATCAACTGAGAAGAAATATGTATATATGCATGCAAAACACATTCATGCTCTCTCTCTCTCTCTCTCTCTTTCTCTCTCTCTCTCTCTCTCATATGTCAATAAATGTAAAATTCACTTTCCAAAACCGAAAAAATTATCAGATAAAAATTTCTTTTGCATCTAGAGAATGAAGCATCACGAACAAAACACGAGTTCTATCAGATTGCTGGATTCCCAAATGTCCTTGGTGCCGTTGATGGAACTTTAGTTCCAATCACTGCACCCAAAGACAATGAATCAGTGTACGTTTGTCGGAAGGGCTATCACGCTATAAACGTACAAGTGGTTGCTGATGCCTCCTTAAGGTATAATTTTATTTTTCTTTAAAAAGTGCCAAACAATATAAATATATTGACATTACTGAATGAAAAATAAATATGTTTTCATTTATGTCTCAAGGTTTACAAACATAGTTTGCAAGTGGCCTGGGTCTACACACGATGCGTTCATCTTTTCTAACTCTGCCTTGAAGACCCACATGGAAGCAAGGTAGGAATATATGATATATAGATGTATATAAAGGTTTTAAAATCACCTTATTTTACAACCTTTGTATGATTTAGCATTTATTTTAAACATTACTTCCACAGGAATGACGGCTGGCTTCTTGGGGACTCGGCATATGCTTTAAAGCGGTACATGATGACGGCCAAGTCCAACCCAAGCAATGAAGCAGAGGAAAATTACAATTTAGCCCACAGCAAGACAAGGGTTGTAGTTGAAAGAGCACTCGGTGTATGCAAATCCCGATTCAGGTACTATTTAACTAAAATACTTCAAAATTTTTAAAACAATTCAGAAATTTGGAAAAATGTAAATACTATAATGCATTTTTTTTCTTGTATAGGTGCATACATAAATCTGGTGGGATGCTTTTATTCACTCCTGCAAAAAGTGTGCAGATCATCACAGCTGTGTTTAAGCTGCACAACATGTGTATGGACATTAAGCTGCCCATTGATGGAGAGATGTGCGATAACGACCCAGACCAGGAATTTTCTGGGCCACAAGGTGTTATTGCAGATGGTGCTGGACAAACAGTCAGACAGAGACTAATACAGAGATTTGCCAATTGAAACTATCAGTCTGTCAAACAATTGAAAAAACTCCTGCTAGTGCAATTTTGGCTTTTTGCAGACTCCCTAAGCAGTTAGTTTCAAGATGGAAGAAAATATTCTTAATGAAGCTTTAAACACCAATGATTTTTTTTAATTCAGAAAAATTACCAGTATATCATATAAAGATGTACACAAGTTTATTCAGTTATAATTTTTAACTTAAGGTACCTGCCATATTTCCTGAGGAAAAATGTTCAAAGTCAATCATGATTTATCAGTGAACAGGAGTCAATCTTTCTAGCTTATATAATATTGGTAAAATACAGAACACATGTAAAATTATGTATTCGGTTACTTTATCTTGGTCTGATATTAAGTTATTTTATTTTTCATACAGGAGCAGGTCACTTTAACTGCATAAAAGTCTATTTTTGCATTGTACAATTAGAACTCTTTAGTGTACAGTGTTTTCAGCTTCCGTAATAAGTGGAATGATTTCTTCTCCAAAAAGACAATTGAAACTGCTTTAAATTGTTACTATTATAATCATTTAATAATTCATCTCACTATAAATGTAAATACATGTGTAACAGAATTCTATATAATGGTAATTTTAATTATTCAGCTTTTACCAAGAAACAAAGGTTTTTTTCTTATAAATTCATATCACAGCTTAAGTAGATGACAACTTTACAAAAATAGTATGATGCGAGGCACAAAACCTTAAAACATGAACTAAAACTTTCAATGTTACATATTAAATAGCGATTATATACACAGGAACCAATTGATAAATTTCTAAATTGTACTGAAAATGACAAGATGCCAATACAAAGTACTATTTTTTTTAAGGAAAGAAATTTACCATGTTACCCTCTTCTAATGTAGATATAGCAAAATTTCCAAGCAATGAAGCAATATGCTCTATATCAGAAAAAAAGAGAATATAATAAATCACTAGCAACAAAGTTTTTTTCACATGTAAACTCCTTAAATTGGCACCAGATTACTTATAGCTTATTCATTCCATGTGGATAAACCCTCTTTATTTATGCTCGAAGTAGTATACTTAATGACAATTTGTGAATAATATTAAATACAAATTTAATGTCTTATTCATACTGAAAATAATTCTTTTTTTTTTTAGTAGATCATTCTAAAAAATAATTATAATATAGTCATAGTAGTCATACCAGAACCAGTACTGCTTACATCACAGGACATGTATATGTCTTGCATCATCAGCAGGTCAATCTGCTTTACATTAAGTCATTATGTTTAATCTGCTAAAAATATATTGCTTGTCTACTTATCATTATATGTATCATTACCATATTCAGAATTTTAAAGACATTACAATAAGTAAAACTGATTTTGTTGTTGTTGTTTTTTCCACAAACATCTCATTACAATACATATAGGACATTAATAGCCGTAGGATAAGTAACAAATAATATAATAATACCCATAGTTCACACAAAACAGTATCAAAATTTTTGTTTCGTTAACAGAAAACATTCTTGTGGAATTTGCACAAAGTAAGCATCTTAAACAAATACACACACACCTCAGGTGATATAAATACAGTTTATCAATACAACATAACAACTGCATAAGTAGTCAACATATACTTATGTTAGATAAATATGTACAGCATTTTCAAATGGTAATCTAACCCTCAAATAAAAGGTGTGGTTACAAGAATCAAGAGGCCCATGGGCCACAGTGCTTACAGTCATCTTTTCCCGTTATTCTGAAGAAGAATATGAAAATAAAATATTCTGAATATCTATACCTGGTACTTATAAATTAATAAATTTAATATATTCATATTCATTCAAAGCTAATTTAAAACAATATGTGTTTGTGAAACACTGATGCCCCCGCATGGCATCATAGCAAAGATTAAACTTTTCTTAAATGCAAATTTACTTAATTGGTACCAAAAGTAAGGTATTCTCACTGGAAAACAATTGTGAAATTTGAAAGAAAGCCAGTGTTAAAGTTTTTTCAATAAGTACAAAAATCTCCAAGGTCAAGGTGAAAAGGTCAATGTAATTGGTATCAAATGAAAGGTCTCGCCACATAGAATACTTATATAGAGTATGAAAGCCCTAGCCCTAACCGTTCAGAAGTTAAGGCCAAGGATAATTTTTTTTAAAGTAAGTCAAACGCCAATGTCAAAGGGTCAAAGTTCTTGTTATCAAATGAAAGGCCCTGTCACAAAAATTAAATATGTAAAGTACGAAAGCACTAGCCTTAACCCTTTAAAAATTATGGTCAAGCTTTGCTTTTTTAAAGTAGGTCATCTCAAAGGTCAAGGTCAAAGTTCATGGTATCTACTGAAGGGTCTTCTCACAAGGATTACATATATGAAGTATGAAAGCCCTATCCCTTATCGTTCAAAAGTTATTGCCAATGTTAAAGTTTTTTCACAAGAACGGAAATCTACAAGGTATCTACTATTCAATAAAATATGGCCAAAGTTAAAGTTTAAAATTTTCATGTAAAAATGGGTCAAACTTCAAGGTTAAGGTCAAAAGGTCAAATTTGGTGGTACCCAAAGAAAGATCTTGTCACAAGGAATACACCTATGAAATATGAAAGCTATAACCTCACCCATTCAAAAGTTATGGGCAAGGTTAAAGTTTTTGCGGACAAACAGACAAACAGAGAGACAGACCGACAGACAGCTAAACGGACACGACAAAAACTATATACCCCCAAAACTTCGTTTACGGGGGCATAAAAACCAATTTATCAATAAAATGTATAACTTTGAGTCCTGTATCAGTGCAAAACTTTGATTTATGTATAAGTGCATAAGCTTACAGAAAAAATATCATGACTCTTTGAAAATTAGTGGAGTTGATCTCCTGACAATTCTACCAGAATGTGTATTACCAGGCAAATTAATAGGTCAGGGGCTAAGGAGCTTACAAATCTTGTACGACTTTGTGTTTGAAGTCAGAGGGTGAGGGCTATTGAAAATGACATGGGAGGCCTTGTGTAATTGAAATTTTTAAAATATGAATGTAAAATTCTATTTCACAATGATATGAAAATATATGGGATCACTGTCTAGTTAGGATAGTATGTCAGGGACATCAATTACAGTTTATGCATGAAATTATCCCACGTTTCCAACTATTGTTGATGCCTTGGCACACTATCCTAACTAGACAGTGATCCATTACATAAATCAACAGACGGACTGAGAATAAGTGATCAGAAAAGCTCACTTGAGCCTATGAGGTGAAAAGCCCTCTGATTATTGGAGATACAGTTGGTGTACATGTATTCTCCATGCCCTCTGTGTACATCTTCTTTCTCCAGTTAACGTAATCTTCCAAGATGTCCACTTTTCTTCTCTCAATCTTAAGGTGTTCCTTCATTATCACCAACTTCTCCTCTTCAATTTCCAGAAGTCTGTCTTTCGTTGGATCTGAAATTAAATATAGCTGAAATAAATGCTACATTTAGTAAGAATGATCATACAGAAGAAAATAAAAGGTGTGTGAATTTAAAGATAAATCTGCATGAATCTGAATTATATTTGCATAAACTGATTTGAATGTTTCAACTGGGTTGAAACTGTATATGTACTTGTATTTTACCCTTCACTGTGGAGTCTTTTCTTTTACTGGCAGTTCTTTCATCTGAAAACAGCAAAATTGTTACATGAACTGAATATTCTTTTTTGTATGTGCATTTTGTTAATGATCATTCACATTAAAAACAGTCTAAATCAAAGTAATATTCACTTTCTTTCATTTTTGATATTCATTCCATGGATATATTTAGTCTAAAAATTTATTGGAAATTTGAACAAATTACACTATGATATATTACATGTATATTGGTATTACTATTATACTCACTAGAGATTCTGCTGCTGGCAGAAAGACTGTTAGCTGGTATGAAAAAAAGCCAAACAGGTTATAGCAGTATAAACTGGGTAGCTAATAAATTCATTCATTTTAATTTTCCAACATTAAATGTAGAAAATGGGACAATTTCTCCTTTAAAAATGCCTTCAAATTACACGTAATTGAAATGTAACATAAGCTGATACATTTTTGAAGTTGGTAACCCAAGTTATCTGATATAGTTTAATGTTTTTTAATCTAATCAAATGACATGTTACAACCAAAATTAAATTATTTCTCATTATTAGATTAACTATAATTTTATGTTGTATTAAAAACAATATTTAAGTACATGTATTGTGAAAAATTTTGTTATATGTGTGAAATTAGCTCACCTGAAATAGTCTTTAAAGCTTTTTCTGGTTAGCAGAAACCTGTGTAATTAAAACTAGAAATTTACATTGTAAGTACATTAAACTGCCTAAGAAAGAAAACATAAAATTTAAATTTAAGGATTGCTTGTTGCTTACAGCTGTTTTCTTTAAAGAGTGTGTAACCTTTCTCAATATTACAAAGAAACATGCCCAAAATTTGAATAGTTCACAAGAAAACTTTTGATACTTTAATTGCAAAATTGTGTTATTAGAGAAAACCACACAGATATAAATTTCTTAAAGTTTAATGGCGAATAATGGCCATGGCAGCACTACAATTTTCAGTTATTTAAGCAAGTACATTTAGTTACTGGTTACGATCGTAACCAAGGTTACCGACCCAAATACATTGGGCGATTTTGGCAACCCAAATGGCAAATGGCAAATACATGTAAATGAAAATTCACAAGAAATTGTCAAATATAGAAATGAATATGAAATAGGCAAATATACAAATGAATCTGTTAAACAACCTACTGGCAAATACACCATGTAATACATTGCAAATGTTTCATCCAGTCTGACACAAATAAGCAAATTGAAATTTCACACATATTGAAAATAATTATGTACAGTTGTAGCGAGCCCTGGGAACAGATGCTCACTAAATATAACCCTATTTAAGTTCAGCTAAAGATTGCGCCGCATCTCGGATATGGAACTTCATTGGAGCTGGTACAGTAATGGTTTGAAACATCAACAGCCATCGAGGTTACAGCCATGCAGTGCGCCATGACGAAGTTAGGTACTGAACGAAGAGATGTACAAGGCTGAAAAAAGAAAAAATCAAGCAGCAGCAAAATGACACCAAATAGACATTTATTTATATATATTCATACATTACATAAAAAGGGGTGTTGGTGGGTGGGAAATTTTTTAACACAGTATAAAAAATAAACAAATTTACAACTTGAGATGCAGGATACTTCTGCTTTCTTGGGTTCTCTAACGGAAAAGGAAGTCGCAAGGGGTAGACTAAAAACTCGAAAGATGATAGAACGGGGAAACACTAATAACCCAAATAACCCCAAATATGGGCCTCTCTAATAACGCGATTTAATTTTCAGCAATTAAATCGAATTATTAGAGAAAACCACACAGATATAAATTTCTTAAAGTTTAATGGCGAATAATGGCCATGGCAGCACTACAATTTTCAGTTATTTAAGCAAGTACATTTAGTTACTGGTTACGATCGTAACCAAGGTTACCGACCCAAATACATTGGGCGATTTTGGCAACCCAAATGGCAAATGGCAAATACATGTAAATGAAAATTCACAAGAAATTGTCAAATATAGAAATGAATATGAAATAGGCAAATATACAAATGAATCTGTTAAACAACCTACTGGCAAATACACCATGTAATACATTGCAAATGTTTCATCCAGTCTGACACAAATAAGCAAATTGAAATTTCACACATATTGAAAATAATTATGTACAGTTGTAGCGAGCCCTGGGAACAGATGCTCACTAAATATAACCCTATTTAAGTTCAGCTAAAGATTGCGCCAATGGACACTATGTGTCCACCGCCACAATGGCGGTAGCTGAACGCTAATAACTAAAACGCCCCAACCATCCCCAAACCCTGTCTTAAGAACGGCAGTGCACATAAGTTGCATACTAAGACAATTAAATGAGTATAAAACAAACACATTAGTTACATCAGTGCATCAGTGTCCATTTAAATGTGATTTACATTATTTAGTGAAATCAAATGCCATGGCCATTTTAAGCAGGAAAAACACCCACCCCTGACATTATAAAATTGTGCAAAGCTTTCTTCAAAGTTTCAACAAATATCTTATTGCCCTGCTCTGACAAGTGCACCCCATCCTCTTTGAGCAAAGTGTGACCAACTGAAGTGAACTCTGGGTAACGAATATATCCCCCTTGATGTGCCAGAAGTTTCGTTGCAACAAAGCTATTAACTCGAACCCTTGCTTTATTAAGAGCCCTGTTGTCCCTAGCATTACGCCAAATCGATCTAGGTAAAATCTGAGACCAAATAATTTTAGTGTTCGGTAACAGAACCGAAATTGAATCTAAAGAATCATTTATGCTGTAACGCAAAGCACATGATGGAATTTGACCTATGTCGTTGCCCCCACAATGTAAAACCAAATATTGAGGGGGGTCTTCATACCTTAACATTAATTTGATTTTAGGGAGGAGATGACGCCATCTCATGCCGCCTTTTCCCTGCCACCAGATATTAGCCTTCAATGTGGATAACCCAAGGTTGGACCCCCCATTTTGTCTAGCATAACCAAAAGCATGCCATATTATTGACGATCCAACAATCCATATTCTTACTTCCTCTGAAATATATGTAAACAAAATTGTATATATATATAAAATAACATTTACCAGACTGGTATTAGAAAACCTATCCAGCTATTTGGCTTGATGTGCTAAAAGTAATACAACCGATTGAATCTTTAGCCAACAATCAAATTTGAGGTTGGTATTCTTATATATCTCTTGTAAGCTTTTGATCCCCAACGACCCAATTCTTGAATTTGATCATCTGACATGCCGTTAATAGAAGCTGTTGTGGCACCACCTATCCTAAAGGAATGTGACTTGTACTTATCATTGTCTACCCCAATGCATGACAAAGACTTTTTCAAAATGGCATTGAATTGATATCGTGTTAATGGTGACTTGTCGAAGTGACAGAAAAAGGGGCCTTTAGTTACGGGACGTTGAACTGAATATTGTTTTAGTAGCTTGACTGGGCATATCTTTCCCTCAACTGCAGGTAGAACCAAAACAACCCCTTTTCCAAACTGGTCAGTTTTAGAATGAGACAAATGAATTTTAACATCTGAATTGTCCCGGGAGAATTGGATGCTTGTGGCATCCAAGGCATGAGAACTACTACTTTTCTTACTATCTAAGACCAACTCCCCAACCCTAAATAGGCCAAAAAATGAGCATGAAAAAACTGCTGAAAACAATGTAGTTTCATAGGATGATTTACAAACAATTGGGAGTACATTCAATATTTTCCCCAACAAATCTGGTGTTATTGGCAATCTAGCATCTACTGAACTTTGCAGTCTTGACATGCCTACCACCATCTTTTTGATAACAAAGTTTTGGGTGGGGTCACGGTTACCATTAAGTTTACATTTAAAACTTATACCTGACAGATAGGTCCTTACAGTAGCAGAAGACAGACCCTTTAATGAACAACTAGCTACGAATTCTATAATCTGTTTTTCATCAGGAGGCCAAATCGGATGTAACCCACAAGATAACCTGAAACGATCAAATTCAACTAAACCTGTCTGATAAACAAGTCTTGTATTTGCTGAAATGGAACTCTGAACTAATCTGTCAAATTCAGTCTGGAGATGATGGTTTGAAAGGACTCTGGAATTGATGTTGGCTCCAAGTCCGCTAGGGGTGCAAGTGACCGAAAACGCTGAAACTGACAACGAGATAGAGCATCAGCAACCTCATTATGAACACCTAAAATGTGACAAGCCTTAAACTGTATATTGTTTAACATGGAATGAAGTACCAGGGGACGAATTAAGCACATAACGCGCTTAGACCTAGAAGATTTTTTGTTCAAAATTGTTACTAATGCCTCATTGTCCACATGGAAAAGTATTTTTCTGCTGAATAACTGACTTCCCCAAGCATGAAACGACAAAACAATTGGAACAAGTTCAAGAAATGTGATGTCCCTGATTACTTCAGTACCAGCCCACTCACTTGGCCACTTAAAAAACAACCAATGATTCTTAAAGAAAGCACCACAACCTAGTTCTGAATTCCCTGCACTGTCAGTAAATAATTCGAGTTGATCATCATCTACCCAGTCAATCTGTGGAAAGTAACAGCAGCCATTGAACAAATCTAAAAATGTAAGCCACACACCCAAGTCCTCCTTAACTGCCAAAGAAACCCTGATAAAGTGATGTGGTTTACAGACCCCTTGCATGATGTCATAAATACGCCTAGTGAAAGCCCGGCCTGACGGAATGGCACGTAAACAAAAATTCAACAAACCTGCAAGAGCCTGAAATTCCTTTAGAGTAGCCTTCTTTCTTGACATAAAACTCTTGATCAAATCCTTTAAACTATTTAACTTATCAACTGGGATTCTTATCATCATTTCAACTGAATCTAACTCAAAACCCAAAAAGGTCAGGGAAGTTGAAGGCCCCACTGTATTATCATCAGCTAAGGGGACACCTAACTGCTCGCAAAGCCCCACAAACAATGACATAAGTTCATCACATGCACTGCTACCTGCCCTACCTGCAAACAAAAAGTCATCTAAGTAATGCACTACAGATTTCTGACCCGACTGTTGCTTCAATATCCATTCCAAGCCTGATGAAAATTTCTCAAAAAGACTACAAGACACTGAACAACCCATAGGCAGGCATTTGTCAAAGAAAAACATATCATTTATTTTAAAACCTAAAAGCTCAAAATCTGACGGGTGAACAGGAAGCAACCTAAATGCAGACTTGAGGTCCATTTTACCCATCAAGGCCCCCTTACCCAAAGAACTTAGTAACCTAACAGCATCATCTAATGAGGAATAATTCACTGAGGAGAAAGATGGATCAATAAATGAGTTAACACTTGAGTTTTCAGGAGAAGATAAATGATGTATCAACCTAAATGAGCCATCCTTTTTCGGTACTAAACCTACAGGTGAAAGCCTTAGATTGGGAAAGGGTCTTGAATGGAATGGGCCTGCAACTCTTCCAGCATTAATTTCTTTAAACACTTTTTCCAGAATTTCAAGCTCATTATCTCTAGCTGACTTTAAATTAGAACAATTAGTAGCTACCCTTGGACCATTGTAATTAAGTTTAAAACCTTCAGAAAAACCCTTTAACAAAATTTCTGAACTCTTCCTATCATAATCAGAGTTTTGTAAATAAGCTTCAAGAACTTCCACTTTAATTGGGGAAAAACCTAGGCCCTGTAAATTGTGGTACACCGGGGAATCGTGCTCTAGGCTGGGGTGGTCTTGATGAAGGTCCCTGGCTCCTGTATTGTAATGGGTATCTTTGACCTGAAAAATCTCTAGAAGCATATTGATTTTTAGCAGATGGGCCTGTACACATCACTGATGGATGAGGGCCGCTACAGCTCAAACATTTATGTAAATAATGGCAATGCTGTTTTACACAAACCCCATGATTGTTATAGTCATAGCATTTAAGAATACGCCCCCCTACTGAAGGTTTTTGCACAGGACCGGTAAACGAAGGTACCATGTACATTAGCCAAAGCTCCTGATCAACTATTCCCCATGAAGCACTTGGATTTTTAGCAATTCTCATTCGAAATTGCTCATCATAAAATTTCCACCCTATACCAGTGCATCTGCTAGCCCCTAGACGAACAGTGTGGATGTACTTAAGCAAGCCAAAAATTTTTGTAGGATGTACTGTGGCATATATTGATGAAAAAATCAAGAATGCATCTGTCCACTGCTGAACATTTGTAATTTTAACAGTAGCCCGTTTCGGTTCAATCACTACTTGACCATTAGAGACCGTTAGTGTTTGCTTACTATCCATCGGGACCGGATTGGATAGAAGCTGACCTAAATCAATGTATTCACCCTTAACAATTTTTTGTTTGATCGATTCTGTAACATTTGCCCCCAAACTACCGTATATGCTATCGATCTCATTACCTGTTGTATCTAAATTGACCTCTGGCTCAGGTTCCTTGCTGGAACTAATGTCAGCCATGCTTGAAGTAGTAATAATATCTGTACAGGGCGTGTTTTCCTCTATTGGGGTCACCGATTCCCTTTTTCTTTTGGGTCCACTTGTAGTCGATGCTGGCACTGGGTTGGCAGCGGATTTCCGCTTCGCGGGCTTGGCAGCCGGTTTACCTCTAGGCATTTTCTGAAACTACCGACTTTAGAGTAAGAAATAATATAATTATAGAAATCATAAAATTATTAATGTTATATGTTTATTTATTTCATTTATTTATTTACTATTATTTATTGCTCAAATATTGTCTCAGCTTTACAACTTTCCTGTTTTATATTACGCATGTGGTTTTTTCAAAATCGAAAAACATCCGAAGAATCATACACCTAATGGTGCATATACACACGAAAATAAAAATTGTTAAGAATATTCTCCTTAAATTTCACCGAAAACATGAAAATTTTTTAACACAGTATAAAAAATAAACAAATTTACAACTTGAGATGCAGGATACTTCTGCTTTCTTGGGTTCTCTAACGGAAAAGGAAGTCGCAAGGGGTAGACTAAAAACTCGAAAGATGATAGAACGGGAAACACTAATAACCCAAATAACCCCAAATATGGGCCTCTCTAATAACGCGATTTAATTTTCAGCAATTAAATCGAATTATTGGTATTAATGAAATAATTTTTCTAAATCGCCTCATTTTTTTTTTGCCTTCCCTGAAAGAGAGAATAATGAAAAGTAACCAAACAGATGATGATGGTGCTTCCATCCCCATTGCAGGTTCAAGATTTGCTTCCTCTAAAATTTATATAGGCAAAGTATTATCAAAGATGTAATTCTTCAGTTACCACTTGTATATGTTAAACTATATTCTACAAAATTAGATAAAGTATATCTTAAAATTATTGACAATGAAATAAATACAGTTGCACTTCAGTATCGCAAACAATGATATCTCATATACCAAGGATATGTTGAAGAAATTTGGGAGTCCTGACTACTTTTTTCTTATGTATTTTACCCTTAATATAGTGAATCTTAGGATTTCTTGATTTTTTGAGTCCCATTCAGTTCGAGATAATGAATTTCGCAGTTCATAAAATTTTTTTTCAGAAACATATACAAGTACCATATCTCCTCTTTGACACTGGTAGGTCCTGTCCGGATTGAGTATCTACAAAAAGAGAGGGGACATAAGTGTCCGAACAAAAAATCAATTCATAACTGGACATTATATTAATATTTTATTCACTCACATTTATAACAGCAATGCCATACCACTTACCATATAATCCCTATTAACGGCCCCGAGCGCTTAGGAAATTGCGAAAAGGGGGTGGTTATTTTGGTATTCTCTTTGTAATATTTAATATCATATCTTAACTTCAAACAAGAGGCCCAGGGGCCACAGCGCTCACCTGAACACATCGGGCTTGAATTTACTCCCCCCGCCCCCCCCCCTCCAGGCGGTCATCATTTGAACAAACTAGAATCTACACTACCTGAGGATGATTCCATATAAATATCACTAATCATAGCTTTGAAGTACTTGAAAATAAGATTTTAAAAGGTTTCCCTACATATCCTTATGTAAAACTTGGGTCGGCCATTTTGGCCCCGCCCTAGCCCCGGGGGGTCATGATTTGAACAAACTTGAATCTGCACTTCCTGAGGATGATTCCACATGAGTTTCATCTTTCCTGGCCCAGCGGTTCTGGAGAAGAAGATTTTTAAAGATTTTTCCTATATATTCCTATGTAAAACTTGGGTCGGCCATTTTTGCCCCACCCTTGCCCCGGGGGTCATGATTTGAATAAACTTGAATCTACACTACCTGAGGATGATTCCACATGAGTTTCATCTTTCCTGGCCCAGCGGTTCTGGAGAAGATTTTTTTAAAATGCCATTACTTTTTAACAAATGAATGATTATCTCCCCTTTGAAAGGGCATGGCCCTTCATTTGAACAAACTTGAATCCCCTTTACCCAAGGATGCTTTGTGCTAAGTTTGGTTGAAGTTGGCTCAGTGGTTCTTGAGAAGAAGTCGAAAATGTGAAAAGTTTACAGACAGACGGACAGCTAGACGGACGCCGGACAAAATGTGATCAGAAAAGCTCAGTTGAGCCTTCGGCTCAGGTGAGCTAAAAAAAAATTTAAAAAAAAAATAAATTCAAGAATCTGCAAAATAATGTCTTAACTTTACTTTAAATGAAGATAATCCACCCAAAGTATGCTAAATGAATCATTTTCTACCAAGAAATTGGATAATCAACAAGTTTCATTTTCAATTCCTTCAAAAATTTGCAGACTTGGATACTATTCTTGTCTTTCTAGATAATTTAAATCATTGTACAGGGGGCCTTTATTTCCTGACAATTGATTGATGATTGTATACTGTTTAACGTCCTTTTCCAGAATATTTCACTGATATGGAGACGTCACCATTGCCGGTGAAGGGCTGCAAATTTAGGCCTATGCTCGGCACTCAGGACCTTTGAGCAGGGAGGGATCTTTATCGTGCCACACCAGCTGTGACACGGAGCCTCGGTTTATACGGTCTCATCCGAAGGACCACCCCATTTAGTCGCCTTTTACGACAAGCAAGGGGGTACTGAGGACCTATTCTAACCCGGATCCCCATGGGGCAATTGAAAAAGATCTAAGGGGGCGCTTATAGGGGCAGGGGCGGTTAATAAGGATTATACGGTAAGTTAAAAATAACAAGATGCCCAAGGGCTATATTGCTTATCGGAGCACTGTGACTTGGATAAAAGCAAAAATCAGTTTAGTATTGAAAAGCTTATACATGTACTTGCCTTAGTGGTCCTAGTGATGATTGATTTGAACTAAATTTAATCTACACTTACTAAGGATGCTTACATATGATTGTAACCAACTGTGACTTTTTCCCCTACTAGCTTGAATTTTCATTGTGGCTCCACCCTACCCCTGGGGGTATTGATTTAAATTGTGGTTCTGGTGAAGATGAAAAATGAGAAATGTTTATGACAACGTGAACGATGAATGACAATTGACAAATTTCGATTAGAAAATCTCATTTGAGCCTGTGGCCCGGGTGAGCTAAAAACTGCATTGATGTTTATACTTGCTTTTTTTATCTGTTGGAAAACTTGCTGTGCACAAAGAGTCAACCCCCCCCCCCCCATCTACACCAGAAATGACATCTTCTGAGAGGATAGATACGATCTAAAAAAAAAAAGGGGAATTTAAATACATAATTTTCTAATTTATATGAACGTGATGAATATACTTATTTATTGAAACCAAATGAATATCAGATTAGTTTATATCTTTTTCATGCCAATTTCAAATACTTATTTTTTTTTTATTTTGGAATAGAATTAAAAACATTTCAGGTACTTTCCCCTCAAGAAAGAAAGATTATACGTTTACTTTTAAGTTTTTTTAATTTGTAGAATACAATTACATGTATAGTCAATTACCTTCTTTTCCCAATTCTTCAGTTCTGGAGGAGGTGGTCCTCCTCCAGTCTTTCTGAGCTCAGCTTTCCTATAAAATATTTAAGAAGGATCATTTTTATACTTTTATCCTGATGTAAATACTGATTGTTCAATGACATATGATCAAATTCATAAAGCCATAGGGGCTGTATGGTAGATTTGATCATGTACTAACCTGTATTTACATGTCGATAGATGTTTAAAAATGGTACTTTTTTAATTTATATTCACAGTTCTGATCAATTATAATAAACTTTCTAAATAACAAAAAAGTATACAAATTACAAACTATAACTTTAAGCAGATTTCATGTTTCTGTGCTTCTTCATTAAAGAAGAAGGTACAGTTTCAATACAAATTAAGCCCGATATTTTTCTAAAATATGAAAGTAATATAAGAAATCAAAATTCATTCTTTCTTAATCATGGGAATTCCCTGCAGTAAGAATATACAAGTCATTTTCCTAATACGACCTCCTTAATGCTAATTGTGACGTCATTAACTTGTGCATTTTCCCGTATTTTCTTAAAAAGTTGCAGAAGACATCAATTTTCAGTGGAATTTTCTTTTAGAAAACATACTTTGCCACCGTCGCCCGGAAAGATTTTGAGATATGTGATTTTTCATAGCAGTTTACATAATATATCCAAGAATTAAAGTGGGCGACGGTGGCAGACACTATTTTCTAAAGGAAAATTCCCACAAAAATGAGTCTTTTAGGGCCTTTTTGCATTGAACTTCGAAATGCACCAAATTATTGACGTCTTACTTCCAGAAATGTCCTCCTTTATGCCATATTCTTTCATGATTTATCATATTCATCTACTCAACTTTTGTTAAAGCCAATTTCATTACCTGTTGAGAACATTAAATGTTTAGGGCACATTCAAGCTCAAACTGTACCTTCTTCTTACACCAATCAACCAAGCAGCTTTGAAAAGATTGGCCAATTAGCAAGGGCGCTACTGAACCTGCTTAATGCAATTTATTAAAACCTGTAAGCCAAAATGAGAAGTGCCGAATGACAGGCAAGGCTAATGGTCAATACAGATACAGTAGCTTTCTGTATATGCAGTGACAGTACAATACATTTTTCCCTATATAACTAATCTAAGTATTTCATCAGTTCTTGATAGTTATTTTGCCCAATTAAATAACATTTTGTTACATGGACTGACCCATCAAACTTGAACTGATCTATTTTTTTTTCTATTTTATTGTTCTCCTTTTTATTTTGATTGCATGGTTTTATTTTTTGTTTCCATTCCAAAGAATCCCAGCTTTGTTCACATCATTTTACATTATTTATATACATGTATATTCTACCAAATGATATCTTTATTTGGTAAAATAACTGCCTCTTACATGTACCTGTTGGCCTCCTTTTTCTTGGTATGGCTCTGGATATCCTGCCATTTTTTCTTCACGTCCTTGACTGCTCTGATGCAGGTGGAGCTTGCATTAACCCTACATTTTAATTACAATATTTAAAATAAAACATAAAGCTTTTGTCAACTCAAAAACACTATACTCCAACATAACTTACTTCAAGTTTTGATGATTGCATGTTGATGATTGATTATACTGATGTAAGCACAGGCGCTTGTTTCATACAGTGAGCTTAGTTTTCTACTATATAATAACACTAACAGTAGAAAACTAAGCTCACTGCATGAAACAAGCACATGTGGATATAAGCTAATTTCTTCTTTACTATTATTATCTGTTAAAATTATTTTACTAAATTTCCCGTTCATAAATTGACGTCTAGCTATTTAAAGTTCGGTAAAAATATTGAAAAACGATTATGATTGTTGAACAAATGATTTTTTTAAATAACTGTAGAAATGTATTTATAAATGTTGCTGACAGTATCAATGTCCTTTAGTACGATCGAGATACCTTTCAGTTATGTCAATCCAGACTTTCTGTTTTGTGTGGATTGTAAGCGCTGGGCTAAACTTCCCTCGGATTACAGCCCATCGCTCAGAATCTGTGACGAGGTCCACCAGCGTCTCAATAGCTACCTCGGACCAGTTAGCTTTCCTCTCTTCCATATTGCGATGATTGTTGACATAAATCGTCTGCTGTAACTACAGTTACCTCCTTTGTCAGAAGAGTTCCAATAAGTTGATCGTAACTCGTCGGTCGTAAGTGCTACGTTTACGATAGGTTTAGTGAAACGCTCGTTTACGTGTACGTGTGGCGATCGTAAACGTTATCGTACGTTTACGATTTGCGATTTGTTAGTGAAACGGTCGCCTGGGTCGGTAAGACAATAATTTCTCAAG